ACTCATTTCGCAACTGTAAGTGAAATATAAAAGCCTGATCCTCTGTGATGTAATTGCAGATTAGAATTGTAACTGCAATATTGTCTTCATACTTTCTAAAGGTCATGGTTCCTTGTAATTTGAGCATTCCATTAATAATCCAACAGGTCTCCCGATAATACGAACACGGCTGCACAATAAAGGACATTACAGGAGGATTTTCGATCACATAATCACCCGGCTGGACGTCTCATCATGATATGAACTTTAATGCCTATCGAGGGACGTTTAAAGCCTTTTATCGGTTTTTATTATGCTCTTTTAGTCACCATCTTGACGAGAAATTACTGATCAATTTTGTGGCTTAATTCCCGTGTCAATCTAAATACTGGACGGAAAGCATAAGGATGGATCAGAAGTCAGTTAATCCGTGGTCATGTTATTGAAGGACATCTCTACAAAACAGTAGCTGCTATTACATCTCCATAGACGTGTTCAGATGGTATTCTTGTATTTAACTCAACTTACATGAACTTTTTTCGAACCTACTGTGTTTTTATATGGACTTTCCAAAATCGAGGATGTGGATGAAGAACAAAAATAAGATTATATCGTAATGTAAGTATCGGCTTTCTGTCATCTATTGTTTTTATGTTTTCGTTCTCACGAACATCTGCATGTATTCATCCATTTCTATCTGAATGCAAATAGATGACACGACTGATCAAGAATAAATCTTGTTTTCTGACCCGGAAAATTTCTCATTGCTGAATGAGAACATGGTACCTTTATTACTGCTCTGTAGATTTTAGTTGGAAAAAGTACTTTAATTTACCCACTGAGTCAGTAATAATATTCTTAATTTACAAAAATTAACATCATGCTCATCGAATGCATAAGGCCATTCATCTTAGATTGGTGGTCAAGATATATACTTAACGAATTCTTTACAAATGTTTTAATATAAGAAATGCACACTGAAGTAAAACTAGGGGTGCATTTGTTCGGGTTAAACAAGCCTAAGCATTTACTATATGCAACGTACATGTACGACATCTGTCACGGATCACGTGTTACAGTGTATTTGTCATATGTTGCAGATGTTGACAATAAATGACAGACTTGCTTTTTTAGCTCACCTGAGCCGAAGGCTCAAGTGAGCTTTTCTGATCACATTTTGTCTGTAGTCCGTCTGTCCGTCTGTCCGTCCGTCTGTCTGTAAACTTTTCACATTTTCGACTTCTTCTCAAGAACCACTGGGCCAATTTCAACCAAACTTGCCACAAAGTATCCTTGGGTGAAGGGGATTCAAGTTTGTTCAAATGAAGGGCCACGCCCTCTTTCAAGGGGAGATAATAAAGAATTAGTGAAAAATTAATAGCATCTTTTAAAAATCTTCTTCTCAAGAACCACAAAGCCAGGGAAGATGAAACTCATGTGGAAGCATCCTCAGGTAGTGTAGATTCAAGTTTGTTCAAATCATGACCCCCGGGGGTAGGGCGGAGCCACAATGGAGGATCAAAGTTTTACATAGAAATATATGGGGAAAAACCTTTACAAATCTTCTTCTCAAGAACAGCAAAGCCATGATGAGTCATATTTATATGGAAGCATCCTCAGGTAGTGTAGATTCAAGTTTGTTCAAATCATGACCCCCGGGGGTAGGGCGGGGCCACAATGGAGGATCAAAGTTTTACATAGAAATATATAGGAAAAATCTTTTAAAAATCTTCTTCTTAATAACAGCAAAGCCCTAATTGATCATATTGATATGGAAGCATCCTAAGGTAGTATAGGTTTTAAGTATGTCCAAATCATGACCCCTGGGGGTAGGGTGGGGCCCCAAAGGAGGATAAAAGTTTTACATAGAGATATATAGGAAAAATCTTTAAAAATCTTCTTCTCAAGAACAGCAAAGCCCTGATTGATCATATTTATGTGGAAGTATACTCAGGTAGTGTAGATTCAAGCAGGGTTCGACACTAACTTTTTAAGGCTTTAGTCCGGCCGGACTAGTGCTTCCGTACTTTTACTAGTCTGCACGCGATTTTACAAGTCCGTCAAAAAAAAAAAAAGAAAAAGATACATCTATGTTTTTTAACATTAATTAAACTTGACAATTAATATACGTTTTATACTTTTTTTGAAATAAACAAACTAAGCATATATTTGAAATCGCAATCAGCAAGTTCGACCATATTCCCGATCTCGTTCTTTTTTTTTTTTTCTTTTTTTTTGTCTTTACATTACATATCCAAAACGTCCAACATCTTTCTATAAAGTGTCATACTAAATCATGTTCGCTAAAAACTTTTTACTTCATATCGATCACTCAGAAGTCTAAAAATACACGCGGGGTATTCCAGTAAAGTTGTCGAGAATCGGACATCGGTAATTTATTCATATTGTTTTCCAGAAATTTTTATTGGTCCGCTCGGACTAATTAGCCACAGATTTTATTAGTCCGAATGAAAATGTATTAGTCTGAGACTAACGGACTAACGTTAGTGTCGAACCCTGTCAAGTTTGTTCAAATGTTGCCCCCCTGGGGTTGGGTGGGGCCACAATGGAGGATCAAAGTCTGAAATAGAAATATATAGGAAGATTTCTTCTGATGAAGAACTGCAAAGCCATGATTAGTCATTTTGATATGGAAGCATCATCAGGTAGTGTAAATTCAATTTTGTTCAAATGATGACCCCCGAGGGTAGGGTGGGGCCCAATAGGGGGATAGAAAATTTTACATAAGAACACATAGAAAAAATATTTCTTCTCAAGAACAGAAAAGCTATGTTTAGTCATATTGATATGGAAGCATCTTCAGGTAGTGTAGATTCAAGTTTGTTCAAATGATGACCCCCGAGAGTAGGACGGGGCCACAATGGAGGATCGAATGTAACATAAGAACATATAGAAAAAATATTTCTTCTCAAGAACAGAAAAGCTATGTTTAGTCATATTGATATGGAAGCATCCTCAGGTAGTGTAGATTCCAGTTTGTTCAAATGATGACCCCTGGGATAGGGAGGAGCCACAAGGGGGGATCAAATTTTTACAAAGGAATATATCAGAAAATTTTTTTAAAATCTTCTCAAGTACAACAAAGCCATTTGTTATTTTGACATGGAAGCATCATCAGGTAGTTTAAAATTCAAGCCCCCCCCCCCCCCCGGAATCTTTTCAATACTGAACTGATTTGTGCTTTTGCCTATCCACTGTGCTCAGGTGAGCGATGTGGCCCATGGGCCTCTTGTTTTCTCTTGCATTCAAAATTACAAAAAAGCATGTATTATGATTTTCTTTATCTAATTATTTTGTACCTATTTTAAAAGGAAATCATGCATCATTACGTAATCGTTAAGTAATTGAAGCCCTTTGCAATAAATTGTTTTAAAAACAGGAAAAACGCCTACCTAAAGATGTTAAGATGTAAAGGAAGGCAATTAATAAAGACTCTTATTAATCAACTCTCTCCTAAAAGTGAATCCAGATTCAGCGCCAGGGGGACTTTCACAATTAAAGCAGATACAAAACCTCTGGAAATTGAATCACACTTGTCAGTAAAGCTGAAGGCCATAGGGATCTCGTATAACACAACAGAGAGAGGAAAATATATAGATTACTGCGATTTTCCACAAAGAACAAAGAATACAATCCTCGAACATTATGCAAAATTTCTAATATCTAAAAATAATACTGATCAATTGATGGATAAATTAAACAAAAAGTAAACGAAGCTCTTTGATAAGTTGCTATCGACATTTTCAATCCAAATTGAGTGCCTGGCATTCAGATCTTGAATTATTGGTCACACTCAATGAATATTCAATTGAAAATACGCTTTCTCCAGGCTCTATATCATTTGATGTGCCGCTAGTATCCGGTATGCTCTGTCAGTCCTTCATCTGACCTAATTTTATTTCTTAACGATTCAACATGTTACTCACTTGCGGCCAGAAATGTGAGTACCATGCAATCAAACAGTCTGTTGTTACAATTGATTAAAATTGACAAATGTTAATTTTCTTTCTTCTTTCTCATACTGCGCTCTGTGCTGACTAAACCAAAGCGCAGTTCTTGTGTAACATGTCAAATTTACAATTTATGAAGTAAGACGTATCTGAAAATATTGCGTAATATGTGTAGGCAAAAGGGCGGACAGAAGAACATTTGTATTTATTTTTTTATAGTAATCACGATTTCAACTGTTTCCAAAGAAAATCACAAAGTTTCAATCTAAATCGAAAATTGTCTACCCTTGAATCTACAATTCAATGACAACTTTTTTGTATCTTTAATTGAAGTGAAAATTGATGGTAATTCAATTAAGCGGAGACTTTAGGCTTCTCTTCATAACTATTTTAGAGGACAGTAAATGGGAATCGCGTCGAATGCTGAAACATTGTCCATAGATCAATACAAGAGCTGGGAGAAAGGTAGCGAAATGGCAAATGAGATTTCATGCTTGCTCTGTTTTTTGTTGCTTTAGTGTTTACTCGTTCGTGTTAGATAAATGACTTATTTGGAAGACGATAGCAAAAAAAGTACTTTGTGGAATTAGATAGGATATATGCATAAGTATTGGTTTAATCGGCCAGAGGCTTTCCTTAAGTTAAACTGTTGATGCCCCTGTCCAGAAAACTATGCAGTTTATATTTTATTTTGTCATATTTCCTGATGAAGTTGATTGGTTTAACACTAAATGATCTCTGTATTGTTGTTCATACATTTACGCATCTAATTTTCCATTTGATACAAATTGACTTTGTTAAACTTTAAATTAGTATTATAATAATATTTAAATCTTGTTTCAGAAGTGAACTGAATTAAACTCTCTGAACTTTAAAGTTAAATCCTAAAATATGATCCCCGATATATTTGGCGATTATAACTGCATGAGTGTGTATTATTTCTCTTTCGAATTCGCTTCTTGTTTCTTTCCAGATTATCAATGTAAAACATCCAGGAGATAAAGAAAGAGCTCCACAGCCGTTTTTGTTTAAGATATTCTTGTAATTAAAAACACAGAACACTGTCACGTGAGGTATAATAATTTATCCTACAGTATACATCGGCTACTCTGTTCTTTCTACAGTCGGCTGTCAACAAAGAGATTAGGTTTCTCTGTTTAAATAGAAAAACAATAGTAGAGTGCAAGAACTTTCCAATCAAAGGGAAATGACCAGCTTAAAAAAGTGCAAAGCGGATTATATGGAAATCTTTCTTGCGCCTAGTTATTGTTTGTGTAGACAAATCTGCAACAAAATTCAGAAACTGTGGAATGAATAATTGATCGTGGACAAAAATGGATATTTATGTTGGCACTTGTCCTGGGGATCTATAGGTTTAATATCGACATAAGAATTATAAAATCGGCCAAATGTTTACTTAGCCCGTCTTTAGCCGTAATAACCAAACAATCTTGGACATAAGCGTCCTGTTCAAATACCGAGTTAACAACATGGGGGAGACGGTGATTTATTAAGGGAATATATTGAGTTTTCTCGAGTCTGAATTTCTGGGAGAATAGTATGTACACACTGGATATCTATACGGAAACGGTGTTCATTTGTGGATTGGAAAATTATCGGCCTTCACTTTGGAAATGAATTCATCCCAGTAAAAATATACCGCGTTATTGTGTGTGGCCTGCTACTAGGGACTGTGTTATATTACCATGTGACACCTTTGAAATTAGTGGTGTTTCTTTGAATGTCAGGTTTATTTCAGTGTCAAGAACAGGAAAATCAAACGAGGTATGTGTTTAACTGTCCATAATATACAGAAACTTATCAGCACAGCATTTTGTTTAGTACACACGCCCTTGTGTTTGATGTTACACAGCCGTCGAAATAAACTTGAAAGGATATATTTCACTGGAAAAGAGATATACAGTACTCAATATATAAGCGTTTGTGCTTTAAACACTTTAAAGTGTAGCTGGCAGGTTTTATGTTACATAACAATTTCTTCAACTTTGAAGAAATATTTAGGACGATATTGACACTGTGAAACTGACACTTGGGGATGCATATATTAAATTTCCTATCCTCGCTTGAGTGAATTCTCACCTGCCTTTTTGCGTACTTGTCCTTTGGCAGACTGGAAAACTGAATTCACAGGAAATGTATTCAGCTGTGATATGGATTCTGCTACTTATATTGTCCCAGTGGACGCAAGGTAGGCGATTTCACTTAATTAAAATTCATTACAAATTCACGAAATATGTTATACTTATTTGAGAAATCAATAATTTTACGATGTTTGACAGTGGAAATGGGATTTTTTGATTGATAAGGGCAATTAGAAGTCAAAATGATCCCGCGTTTATAAATAAGAGACGGTAGATTTCTTTTCTGGAACAGTTACCTGATGATGATAAGCGAGGATATTTAACTGTTTAAATACAAATAAACGGTGATAAGGTAAACAAAGCGTGTATACCTCTGCATATTTTAAATGGTTCACTTTCAAAACATGCTCCATGTACACGCATGAGAAAAATTTAATCACGTTAATCGTGTTGTGATTAAGCATATAATTAAATGGTATAAAGTTTCTAGACTGTTTATATGTGTCAAGGAACTTTCAAGAAGATCCTAAATTAGCGTAATTACGCTTTTGCAAAAAAAAAAAGGGGGCATGCACTTCCTGCATCAAAGCGACTCGTCTTTTTATAACGCCATTAAAAAACCTGGGGCCGATATCATCTTCAGGCCAGGAATGTATTACAAATTTTGTAAATGCTCTAAAGATGACCTTTTGAACTTTACGAGTCTTTATTTCGTTGTATATGTCCCCTCTTTTCAGAGTTAAAAGTCCACGACGGCCAAGTCTTTCGACTTTTTCAATTTAATTGAGTATCCTTGAGAAGGTTAAATAACAATGAGAAGATCGTAGTAAGACAGTATGCCCTACATTATATCGTGTTTAGAGGGACGATAATTATATATTCTTGTTCCATTGAAAAATAAGCGTGAAGCAAAATTAATTTAAATAAACTGGTATTCAAATTAAAACACACAGCATATACATACTTTCACATGATTTTCACTACTTTTGGGTATAATTACGTCTGTTTTATAAATGTTTATAAATTTGCATGTTCATGTACGTATATAAGTTAAGCACTGAAATGATAATAATCTATTTACAAAATGAAATTAAATTATACCATTTTTAATGAGCAAAAAGGTATACTTTTTCTTAAGGACAGATGATACAAAAAAAAAAAAAAAATGGATGCCTGCATTGGTATATATTTTTGGATCTGTTTTGGTTGTAAATGATGCGAATAATAGTTTTCTAAAATATTACGAAATTGTAAACTTCCTATGATATTCAAAATTCTACCTTTCTACAATCATCCTTATTAATCTATACAACGTTTCGTCACTTTAAATCCAATTATTATGAAACTTTGAATGAAAACTGAAACTCTATGCGGTTAAAGTTATTCATTTTACTCATCTGAACATAACTTTAGTTGTTATTTTTAAGATTCTTGACAAAAGTTTGTTTGTGTATCATCTGTCCTTAAAGTGTTTCTCATTTTAAATTGAAAAATTAATATTCATAAACAAATAATGAGTACACGTTATTGATAATTGATACATGAACACCCTGGATTGATGATAGATCGATTTTTATGCAGCACTTGCTTAGAAGATGTAGATCTCTAACAACAAAGAAAATAAAAACTTAAAAATCTATGAAGATATCTCCAGGTAAAAAGAATGGTACATGGGCTATGTTTTTAGGATACAGAGATGACAAAGCATATCAAATGTTAAAATTAGCAAATTGAAATGATGAAGTAGATTATTACAATTTACTTATATACTGGTAAATCTATAGATTTACATGTATTACATATTAAATGTTAAAATTAGCAAACTGTAATGGTGAAGTAGATTATTACAATTTACTTACTGGCAGTAAATCTATAGATTTATTACATATCAATTGTTAAAATTAGCAAACTGTAATGATGTAGATTATTACAAATTACTAAATGGTAAATCTATAGATTTATTACATATCAAATGTTAAAATTAGCAAACTGTAATGATTTAGTAGATTATTACAATTTACTTACTGGCAAATCTATAGATTTATTGCATATAGATGCAATTGATATTATTTGTTTAAAAAAGTTTTTTCCATATAGAAATTTCAAAAAAAAAAAAAAAAAAAAAAAATCATTTTTCTTCTTAATTTTTGTTTTACTTATATGCAGAGTTATATTGCCTTGCTTTAGTATATCAGACATGCTGAGAATTGTAGAATGATTTGGTTCTTTTCTATCTTTTTCATATTTTTGGAAGTTCTTCTGGAAATAGAATATTCACATGTTAATATTAAGCATTTCTTTATAAACGTTTTGAATTATCAATTTTTCATAACATTTGAAGGAAAATGTGCAGATTGTTAAGAGTTATATTGTGTGCATTCAAAACCATTAATTAAGTGATCGTATAGAGGAATAAGCTTATTCGTGCTCATGCTGATTTTATTTTATAATTTGGTTCATATATGGAGTTTATTATGCATATCAAACATACATATTACATAAGTAATTTAATTGAAATGGACAAGAAATAAAAGAAGACATAATTTACAAAGAACGTTGCGTGATGCAAGACCATTAGGTAATACACCAGAGAAAGATAGAACAAGTTTACCTAAGAAATTAAAATCCCAACACGATTTCAGTGGTGTAAGTACAAACATTAATTATTTTGCGATGTACAGCAATGCACGTACCTCCACATCAATAGATAAATTCAGCGGCAGCAGAAAAAAGGAAAGCTATTGGATATAGTAACCACAAGATAAAGTTAATCGATGAATAAAGTTACATGTACTTAGGGAATTTATGACCTGTTTCAGTTATCGGTTTTGCATTTAATTATATATTTATATAAAGGTCTCAAAGGTACGCAGAATGGGTGCTAGACCATTGTTTCTAACAAAGCCTCTCTCGAAAATCATAACAGTTGTTTTTACAAGGTCCTAATGATTATATCACTCATTTTTATTATTCTAAAGTCTACTGTCAGGATGGAAATCTAGATTTTGCCGGCTAAACAAGTATTTTGGAAAAATACGTTTTGATGGGAAATGAAAACTGACAGTTTTTACATTATGTTTACTGATAACGCAAATAAGTTGTTCTGAAATGACTCTTGTGGACGTTTGTCAATTTGAACAAAACTAGCATTTCAAATACAAAATAAGACTTTTTACAGTTAAAAACTGTTAACATACTGCGGTATTTGGTATTTTAGGAGTTCATTTATCTCAGTAGACCTATTAAAGGCAACAAAATTTTAGAATATGAATTATTTTTTAAAAAAGCAGTTGTTTCCTTGGATTTAGGATTTCACTTAACTTATGATAACAAAAAAAAAAAAAAAAAAAAAAAAAAAAAAAAAAAAAAAAAAATAAGGCCAAAAACCATCTGCTTTCATCAGGGTCATTTGAATGTTTGTTTTTCGTTTAGGTGACCAGGTGACTAGAACAGACGTCTGCAGCAACAGCGGGAAGTTTCTGAAATGCGAAACTAACCACGTTTTAAAAATCAAAGATGTCATCTGCATGCCTAACAACTACACCTGCCCCGAGAAGGACCGGATTGTGTCGATTTGCGAAGGTCAAAAGTCATGTGAGAGTATTGGTTTGAGACAACAATTATGGACATATTGTCAAGATCAGCCAAGCAGAACGGTACTGGTGGATTTCACGTGCGAATCAGGTAACTTACAAGCAATATTACCAATTATTAATCCCATATTCAGAGCATTAGTCACAGTCACAATATTATTTGGATTCTCTTTAAAAATTAATGTTTCTTGTTAGTTTTTTGTATCACATATTGTACATGTACGTACCCTCGCTTAGAAAATACATGTATTACCTATTTTCTACTAAGAACACATAATGTACATACTTGAATTCATGAATTGGGACGTATAACTTGCTTTCATTTTTCGTTAATGAAAATTACATTAATTAAACTATTTGTGGAAAATAATTATACATTTTTTTGTTTTGCTTTATATTCGTAGTTAAGGATACTCCATTATGTCGAACTAACCTATGCAGCGAGGAAAGCAGGGGCCTTTTGTGTCCTGCAGGATCCAGCATTCACGTAACAAATCTAAAATGTGGGTCAATGAATCATTTAATTTCTATAAAATAATTGATTCCGATTGGATAAAAAATTCTTTTGATAACCGCATCAATAGAATCTGGCGTTCACTTGCACTTAGCAGCCGGAACTACTTTCCTCTGGAATGCAACCTTTCACCTTTCTATTTTTAGCGCTATTTATAGAACGGGAATTTCCAAATAAAAATGTACACATTGATTTCGTTCGTGTTTTTATTCAATTTATTGCTCGCAAGACTGAAAAGACAAATAAATAAAATAAATACTAAAATAAAAATGAAAACAAAAACACACATATTGATGACATAAAAATACATCTTTTCTCACGATATCGTCTGCTTCACAAGTTCGATGAAAAACATGAGTCAGCAAGAGGCGACTTTTGATCTTGGAGATATTAATGAAATGTTAGCTTTGGGGCACAGCGAGGGTGATTTGGATGATGAAGTTTTGGATTTTCTACTAAATACTGAAATGGACCTTCCAGCTGAATACACACTTCATGAAGTTACTGCTTCTACAAGCAACAATCAAGCCATGGCTGAATTGACAAAGGCTCTTGAAGAAGATCAAAGACTACCAGTACCAATTTCCAATGAGAAGCCAAAACAAAGATTTAAATCCCTAACAGTTGAGGAGCTTGATGAAATTGAATCTAAAAAGCATTCTTCAGCAACCAAGGCCAAAACAAAATGGGGTGTAAAAATTTTGCAAGGTAGGCAAACAATTAATACACAAAATAACCAAAAAAATATAAATAAAAAAAATGAAAAAAATCTTAAAATCAAAACAATGTGTTTTTTTTTTATAAATCAGAATAGCAGACGATATTATATGAACATGATGAAGTCATAACAATAAATAAAAAATAAAAATAGAGTTACTCAAACAATAATTCACACAATTTGAACCAAAATATGTTATTTGAAAAATAGAGAAAAAAAATAAATAAACAAAAAACAAAACACCAGCCAAATACAAGTTATAATAAAAAGGGCCTAATTAAATTGCAGACTGGAGCCTTGAGAAATTTGGTCATCCTCTGGATTTGCAAACAATTTCAAGAGAGGAACTAAATAATCATTTAAGATGGTTTTACACTGAAGTCCAACCAAAGCTGGATTCAGAAAAGGAAAACAAAATATCGCAGCCTCAGGAATATCACAAAAACACATTAAAAGGGATAAGATCTGCGATCAGCCGACATCTTAGTGACATTGGCAGAGATTTTGACATAGTTCGAGACAAAGCTTTTAAACAAGCGAATGGGGCCCTCACAGGAAAATTAAAACAAAATATGATCCTGGGTTTGTCTAGACCTACCCAACACAAGGCTGTGGTGTCACCTGATGACCTTTCTAAAATTTCTACTTATCTTACTTCCAGCTTAGATCCTGTTATTTTACGCTATCGTGTCTGGTTTAATCTGTCACTTCACTTTGTGTCCAGGGGATTAGAATTCCACCATCAGCTGAGTCCCAAGTCATTTCTCTTCCTCAAAGACGACAATGGTATGGAATATGTATCTCTTTCACATGAAACTAAACAAAAGAATTGGCAGGGAGGACTTGATAACCAGGAGGCACCCCAGGATAAGCGTATGTACGCAACAGGCGATTTACACTGTCCTATTGCATCACTCAGAACATTAATTCAGCATACAGACCCCCAGGCACAGTCACTTTTTAATCATTGTACTAAAGAAGCACTCTCCTCTCCTGAAACTACTGAGGTCTGGTACATGGCCAAGCCCTGCAAACAATACCAATTTTCCAAATTCATGCCTGATATTTCCAGAAATGCAGGTTGTTCTAAAAAATACACCGCACATTGTCTACGCAGCACCGCCATCCAAGCTTTAAATGATGAGGGTTTTGAGATCCGCCACATTATGTATATGAGTGGACATCGCAATGAGGCTTCTGTACGATCATACAGCAGGGATTGTTCCACCACACAAAAACATCAACTTAGTTCTGCGCTCGCTAAAGTTGCACGCCCGTCCTCCTCCGTCTCGTCGTTTCAACCGTCCACTGAGACTGCGTTCCCGTGCACCACGTTACCACATGCCACCGTTCCCACGTCACAACCAGTGTTCAACGTCTCCTCCAACACAATGCAGCATACCTCGAGTCATCGTCTGTCCTCTTCTTTCATATCCAACTCAGCATTCAACAACTGCACTTTTCATTTTGCGTCCAATCCATTTAATTCTACACAGTAACGCTATATGATGTGTACATGCATGACATTCAGCCATTTTTAATTTTCGCAACATTGTTATATGATGTATTCATACGCACTGTCTTTGATGCGTAAATAAATATTCATGATGAAATAAAAGTTTCGTTTTAATATTTTTAAATCATAATTAAATGATAAGAAATGAAAGTAATATTTTTTTCTTTGACCGAAGTATCAAAAAAAAATTTGGACGGAAAACTTTTTCATCAATGCGCTACGCGCATTGATGAAGTTTTCCGTCCCAAATTTTTTTTTGATACTTCGGTCAAAGAAAAAAATATTACATTCATTTCTTAAATCAGCGTTGCCCGTGGAACCTGCATCATGTCATCTTTCCCACGTGCGAGGGGAAGCAACATTGTCAGGCTTCCGGTCTAAGGATGTTGGGATTGGAGAGGACCTGTGTCGAGCCTTTTGTGCTTGCTGATTACATCTGTATTCAAAGTAAAACATTTGTTTTAAAAATTACGTTACCAAAATCTTTAAAGGGGCTTGGAAACATTTGCATTGTTTACATTTTAAATTTCTATGCTTATTCAAAAAATAAAACCAGTTAAATAAATTGAAGTTACATGGATATTCTTAGAATTCAATGACAATGGCATTCTTCTTTACATCACATCAAACACCTGATTTTGTAAACAGGACACGGGCTCTGTTATTGTTAATGTTTACGTTTCACCGGGTGGGTTCAATTTGTTAAACTCTGCACACATCAATGGGTATGGACTGACAATACTGGTTAGTTGGTTTTGCTTTCTCACATTTCTACTCTGAATTTTCTTGATAATAGTTTTAATATTTTTTTTATTAATACACTACAAAATTTCTACTTTTCTTAAGTATTAAGGATAAACTTTACTTTGTGAAAGTGCAAGGATGTGTCAATCAAACGCGTCCCGAAATTCATAGTTTAAATAATTTCCAGATAAAAGAAGTTTCTGAACACGTTTTTATTATATTTCCGTGTGAAATACTATAGCAACATACAAGTCATGATATTATACAGAACATTTGAGAAAAAATATTAACTTTAAATCTGTGTCCAGGCCCCTTTAAAGATTCAACACCAACATTACATAAAGTATTTGCATATTACTTTATGCGATATATGCATATGCACGGATATACAGATATTTTCTTAAATATTTCTGAACATATGTTCGAGGCATAACAGCTATACAATATACCTTATAAATAATATCAGTAATTACAGAGATTCCGTAATGTACAATAAATGATTAAATGAAACTAATACAAATATTGAATATATGCTTAGCAAGATTGATCTACTTTCGTGTAAGAAGGTATACCAAAAAACTATGGAATATTGGGCTTTTACATTATTCTTCAACCACTGCATTAATATACAAATCGATTAATTGCATTAACATGAACAAATAATTTAAGAAAGAACAGCAAATCCTCTTTTGGCCAGCAATCCTATTACTTGAGGAAGACTTCGACGATATTGCTTGAAAGAAAATGGCAATTTCCATAATCTGAACATAATTGTCTCTCTACAGTAAGTAGCCCCAATTTTCGTTAATGACCCCTGTTCCCCAGGGATTTTATTAAGTCTCGTAAAAGAATAATTAAGTTGATGAAGTGACCACAGGAACAAGGGCTTAAAGTATGAAAAGAATTGTTCATGTCCTTATCTTCGACTTTTCTATGACATTGAAAACCACAGATATTATAGCGAAGGTCACCTTTACGGTGAAATATTACTTGATTTAAGTGTTCGCTGAATGTTTCCTTAACATATCTGATTTCCTTAAACTATGCAGTTAAAAAGTTGTTTTGATATGAATAAGGTTACGGAAATATTTTAACCGTATCAGTAAAAAGCAATTTCTAGAGAGTCTGGTAAAACGATCTGCAACTAAATATATCATACACCTGACATATGTTTCACAAAAATTCGACGCAATAGTTTAATACAAAATTAGAATTAAATACTTTTTTATCCAGCATATCAATTTTGGTAATGAAAACATTTTGTGAATCATATAATATTTCTGTATGATCATTAGAAGAAATGCTTTTAGCAATGAATTCTTGTAAATTAATGGCTTCCAGAAATTAATCATTTCAACAAAGAACAGTATGTAAAGCCATAAACAATTTTTTTCAGGCTCTGTCATACATGACACATGTACAGGATACTCACAGAGACTTCCAGCCAGATTTGGTGTCATTAAAAGCCCAGGTTTCCCACAAAACCCTGATGGAAATCCAAATGGTTGTGTATGGAAACTGTCCCTTGGTCTGGGCAAAAGAATTGACGTCACTGTCCATTTGGCATACTCTCGTGAGGAAACTGAGGGAAGTACGTGCTCAGCTAAATTTCTGCACGTGCGCTACGTAGACTGTCGTACTATGACGTCAGTGACAGAATACTTCTGTCAAACTCACGAGGTCAATATCACCCGCCAGTCTTGTGGTGACGTCAAAGTTCAGAGTTACTCTTACTTCAAAGGAGACGATAGAGGCAACAGGTTCCTTGTTTCGTATGAAGGTATTCCCACTGTCATCAACTCCATGTATTTTCTTTAGTAGATTAACCTTACGTCAACATTATCATTATATTTATTCTATCATTTATTATTCTATCATATTCTATCATATACATGCAAATAAGAATTTATAAAAATGTTTCTTTGGCAATTATATTAACAAAACAGATCACATAATAAATCACGTGTTTTGCAACGGTTAAAAAATATGGAATAAAACTATGTTCCTATGGCTGTAATAAATCATCTGTCAGAAAATTCTTTGCAGCGATTCAGGAAAACTGATAAACATTTATGATCTAGTTCTATATTGTTTACAGTAGTTGGATATAATCCCAAGGGACCCTCATATGTGCCTTACATACTTCCTTGCGGGGTAACGACCGGAAGTGGCTTTTATGCATCCTCCAAGGATGTTAAGGATGGAGGTTATTTATCGTCTGATGAATCTCCGAAAGGTAATCTTCCTTCTTTGGAAGGAAAAGAAAATATATTGATAAATCATCTGATGGTAGTAGTTGATAAAGGCAAAGCTTACTTTTATATTATTTTGTGTTTGATATCAATCTGAAATCTTTTTATTTAACACTAGAGGTGTTAAAAACGATACCAAAAATATTGTAAAATTTAAACTCAAACTTACGTCTTCTATTATTTTCTCCAAATAGGAAATGGAACAGCTGTAGAATTTTCTTTCAATCCAAGAAGATTTTCTCTAATTCTCAGTGAGTATTAAGTATGGCGTCTAGAGTTTTCTAAAATGTCTTGCTTTATTTTTTTATAGTCATTGCAAGAATTCAATGAGGAGAGAAGGATATCTATATGTCGTGTTTGGTAGAAAAAAAATGTAGATATTACTGTTCAGTATATGTTAATCTTCATTATCCCTTTGTTCACATATTTAATAAAATTTTGCTTTTTAACACTATGATTTTCCAACAGAAATTATTTATTTATTAATAACTCATAATTAAAATACGAACACTATCAGCATACATGTACCTTGCGGAGAAAATTTTGACAGAAATAACATTTTCACTTGACAATTTTATAAAGAAATGATAGACATTTATACCAATGAGAGTATTCTCCCTTATCAGAGGGGTGATGCACCTTGAACATGTATGCTTTTCCTTGCTTTTTTTAAATTGGTGTTACATCATGTTTTGATTTTTCTTTCAGAAATAGTGATGATAAACTTTCTTCTGTTCATTGTTGCCTTCATTCTTGTGATGTCCATCTGCCTTGTCTGTTACAAGTAAGTCCAATAAATTTTAAAGGTTAGCAATATATATGTCAAGGAAAGAAATCTTGATGGCATTTATTACATGTAAAAGTAAAATAAATATGAAGGTGAAATATAAATATTTTTTTTTAATTTCTTTTATTCTACTACATATCAAAATAGAAAAAAATGTTAAATATTGTTGCTTCAAAAGAGGTTTTTTTTATATAATAAGAAGTTTACATACAAACAAATTCAGAAGTCATATCTACATTCTTCATAAAACATTTATCTGTTGACATTGTGCTAACATAAAGATATGTGACATAACATTGCTTAAAACAGAGCTTTACATTGGGGTCTTTAATTGCATGCTTCTTATTTAAAGTTCGGTAACTCTTGTATTCACATTAAATAATCAACAATGTGTTGTCATTCTTCAATCGAATCTTAAGAAAGTTCAAGTGTTTAAAACGTTGCAAAGGTAAATAATTGGTGTAAAAAAAGAAAAACTTGATCTAGATGTGGTTTAATGTTTTGAGATAATTCAAGGTATGCAGTCCAGAATTTGACAGAATTAAACTGGTGTTGGTGTGCATTTTTGAAATAGATTGCATTAAAAAAAATGAGGTGTGTGCACCTAAGAAACTAATTTCAGATTAAATCAATTTCAGATTCATAATAGTAATTTTGAAAATAAAAGAAATTACAAGTGATTTAAATACATATATGATTTTATTCACTATAAAACTATGTGAAATATCGTTATAATCTTGATATTACTATTTTTACTGAATTCTTAAAATTTTATTTTTGCAGAACGAGGCAGATAGATCGTAAAGGCAATTATGAAGTAGCTAAAGAAACAAAAGACAATAATAAACCTGGCACATCAAGTGTGAAAGAAGACACTAAAGTATTAATCGGAGAAAATAATGAAAGTACTGTATCAAATAAAGCTAGTAACCATTTCTCTGCAGTTCAAAATAGCAATAATTATGACGGAATATACAATGAAATCAAACCGGAAGAATTGCGAGGTACAACACAGGTACATCCACGAAAGAAAAATCCCTACGCTTCCTATGATAGCCTGGATTTCGATGATGGAATCTCAGCAGAAATGGTTGGCGGAAGACGATATAGTGCTAGGTGTTCTGCAGAAATTGTGGTGACCAGTTCCTCTCCAACTTCACTTCCACACTCTCCTGCTGAACAGAAAACAAATCAAACTAGTCATCAAGACAATCATATAATTGTTGGGGAAAATGGCGTTCCCCATGTTAAAATCAATAATGATTTTTACGCAATCGTTCAAAAACCAAATAGCCTTAGAAACGGCAAAAGTAGTCCTTATCCAAGAAATTCCTTTGAGATGAATACACACAATAATCATGTTAATGGTTCAAATGGGGGTCCTTTTTCTTCATCCGGGGCATTACCACAACATGATTGTATGTTACATGAAGTTCATTGCGGTATTCCTCCCTTTCCTAACCCAGAGTCATACGATAATATGACGCTGGAAAACCGACAGTCTTCGTCATTGGCGTAATTTCAAGTCTGCCATTTTTTTTAACAATAACATTATATCATTTATCTAGTCGTATGGATAATCAGGGATGAGAAGACAGCACCGAGTGAATTTTTACGGAGCAAGTACTCAGGGTGATGATTAATAATTGATATTTTTAATTAAAAAAAGCCACCCCAACATTTAATTTAGATATTAAGAGTTTCATATGAAGGTGGCATCATCAGTCTTTCGTATATAACCATTAAGATTGAAAAAATTAAATAAAATGTTTTGCAGGTCAATTTATACATTAAACTGAAAGTTTAAGATTCAATTCCTATTTAGACGACAAAAATAAGAATTGGTGCAGTGGGAAAGACTAAAACAAAGTTTTTAGTACCTTGGTTTTATATTAAGCACGTCGTATTGAATAAATTAGGGTCTTTACTAACTAAAAAGTTTACCTTTTTAAAAGGTATTTCTGTTTTGTTTCTTCTTTTTTTTTTTTTATTGATGCACGATGTATGGTCACTCCGAAATATAGTTTCACACAGCATAACAAAATACTCAAAAAGCTAATTCAGAATTTTGAGAAAGTCATGACCATTTGTTGCGCTTTAATTTGAATACGCTTGCATTCTTTGGTCAATGCATGATTGCTGCATGTGACACATTTGAAGAATGTAAAAATTTTGCAATTTACGCAGGTTAATTCTAGTACTTAATATGTTAATAACTCTAGTGCTGAATGAAGTGTTCAGTTAAGCAAATCAAGAAATGTTAGTCATTCGGAAGTTAATACAAATATTTATAAGATAATGCATCTGTATCACTTTTTTGCAAAGGAGTTCAGGAATATGCGTCACTATAGCCAATAATTACTCGAATGTAAAAGTCTTGCCAGGTTTTCTTATAAGGAAGTGCAATATAAGTGCCAAATAAATTAATTATTCAGTCTTGTTGTTCATTTTCACCCATCAAAAAGAGGACAGAGATGGGCTTTTCATTTGACGTACACCTACTTCATTATAGGCCTCGTAAAAAGAAAACCTCGTTATAGGTTACTATACTTGCATAAATACATTTTGGAGTTAATTTCTATCATCGAGACCTGTCTTTCTTACTGTAATCTTTGATTAAAGTGGAAGTTTCTGCATACTTTCACATTCCCTCATTACATTTCTGAGATGACCCTTCACTTAACATCATACATTTCTGAAGCATTCAATTAGTTTTTCTGATAAAAATGAAAGATTATAATACCATGTCCTTATGGGTCGTATTAAGCAGACAGGACAATTCAGTTGGTTGCTTGTTTGTGTAATGTTTCTTCCAGAGTGTTTCACTGGACACCGTAATTACTGGTGGACGACTACACATTTAGGTCTGTACTCGGCACTAATGGCCATTGAGCAAGGATAGTTCTTTTTGAAGTGTTCTTACCCTGGAAGGCTACACATTTAGACGTGTACTCGGCACTTGTGGCCATTGAACAAGAATGGTTCTTGTTGGAGTGTTCATCTTCTGCTATATTTACCGCTGGGGGGGGGGGGGGTGCAAATTTAGACCTGTACTTGACACTTATCGTCACTGAGCAAAGATGATTTTTTTTAGTGTTCATTTACTTTTTAAAACGAGAATTTTACATTTTCATCTGAAGGAGAGAGGGAGAATTCTGCATTTTTGTTATTTTCTATGTTTTCGATTTTCAAATCATTTTTTAAATGATTTTTTGTACACTTTTCCACTTGAAAAACTCAGATGATCAATTGCTATTTGTTTTAGGCTATCGTTTTTCGTCTAGCAATGTTAGTAAACATTTGTGGTTGATATATAGAATTTATAAGTAAAGGGGAACAAAAATAGTTAATTTTATTATCTTAGCCTCTCAAGTGTAAAAGGAAAACCTTCAACACTGATGTATTTTTCGAAAACTTCCTCCTGAACATCAAGCAATGAGCCCAGTGCCAAAAATGAACGTAATTACAAGCCTCAGGGTGGGACTAATTGAATCATATATATTGAAATGCATTACATGTTCAAATATTTTCTTCTTTCATGCTGGACGTCTAGCAAGCAAGCTTTTTCTATGAGTACTTTGTCCAAGGTTCAGGTAGTGAGGCGATGTTTACTTGTTTATGTATTGAAAATACATTAAACATATTAGAAATTCTTTTCTCTACTCATGGGCATTGAGAAGACAATACAATAGCAATAGACATTTGAAAAAGGAATTTACGGTATGTAGAGTACATAAAATGTTTTTGTTTCAGCTGACAAGGCATTTAAAAAACATTATCTTTGTAAACTCATTAATACAACTGTATTTGACTCGGTCTTAATTTCAGTTCCGGTAAAACCTATACTGAGTCTCACACTTCCCTTTCAAAGGATGAAATTCCTTAAAAAAACTTTCAGTTTTTAATACTTAAACATTCGAGTCAATGGAAGTGAGTTTTGATATTTGCAGTAACTATATTGGATTCCAAAACTTCATTAAAATCCTTACTAAGATATATTGCAGGGTCCGGCAAATGTCCAACCCAGCCCCAATCCGTGCGTACTCCTCATCAAAATGTTAACTGGTGGGAAAGAGAAAATTCAGAAACATTGCGCTACACTATATTCAAGAAACGATGTAAATCAAATGTGGAATCTAAAAAAAATCCAAAGAACTTTAGGAAATTTAAAATCTTTTGAAACGTCAATAGCACCAAAACATATGACTTTTTCTACGATTTATATAACAATACCTCACAATAAATTAAAGAACAGGCTTTTGACATCATAGTCAACTGCTACCTCAATAAAAATGGAACTCGTAGATTTTCATATCTTGTGGTTGGTGATTGGTCATCCAAAAAATTACCTTGCTTAAAATCTTTCTGATTCTACGTACAAGTACTCTGAAGTTGATATTAAAAAGAAGCTATAGTTGCTAATTGACAACATCTATGTAGTCTTAGGAGACCAGGTCTTCCAACAATCTGTTGGAATTTCGATGTGCAATAATTGTGCCCCTTTATTAGCTGACCTATTATTATATATATGAAGCAGAATGTATTCAAAAACTTCTGCAAGAGAAGAAGAAAAACACTTGAGGTGATCTTCTATTCGACACTTTGATGTATCGACGATTTTCTCAATTAACAATAGTTACTTTTATTCCTATGTCGATTCAATATATCCAAGTGAGCTCGAAATAAAACACTACGGAGTTTGCCTCACCTGTCTCATATTTGGGTGTTTTACTGACTGTAGACGATAATTATCAAGCAATATTAAACTGTATGACAAACGGGATGACGTAAGCTTTTTCTTTGTTAACTTCCCTTATGTAGGCTATGTATTAACATTGCAACATCACCTGCATATTGTGTTTATGTCTCCAAGCTGATTTGATTCGATTGACCATGCAAATTTAAACCGAGCCGAAACTAGTGTCAAATTAGTTAATGTTACGAGGGGTTCAACAAACCCGTTTAAAAGTGAGATTTTTCGCAACATCTATGCTCGTTATTTTGACCTTGTTTGTAAATACAACCTCTAATTTATCGTATTTTGTCTCATCAGTTTGATACCATTTGGTAAATCATTACCTTTTTAAAACTTAATTTGACTATGGAATACTCCGTATAGTACCTTATCAATAGACAGGGTCCAAGAAGGCGGGCGTGACCGGACACCAGGGAATGCATATTCTTCCTAAGCACCTGATCCTACCTCTGGTTTTACCAGGGGTCCATGTTTTTGCCCTGTTCACGATTCGTCGTTTCGTTTACTTGATTTATTAGATCGCTCACTGTTCATTATCGTCACCTTTATATTAAATCTCCAAAATGCTACTTGAAAATTTCTTCGAAAAAGGATCTGAGTGAGATCACAATTGTTGAACATGGAAAAGAATCATGGGATCTAGGGTAAAGTCACAACAGGGATCAAAGTAAGGCACAGAAATATTTAAATTACTGCTTGAACAACAAAGCCACCACTTGACTTCAAGCCTAAATATACTGTAAATAAAGAATGTTGTTTTCAGGAAATTCACGTCGAAGGCGTGAAGAACGCATTTCATTTCTCTACATTTTTTATTTGGGACGTTTGTGTGCGTTGTGGCACAAAGTCCTTCTTTAAAGTCATATCTTTCAAATTCATTTATCCAGTGTATTAGATTATAAACAGCTGTCTAAATCTTCCATATTTATAAATGCACACACCGTTTTCCTGGATGACTTTATGTGTTGTCTGAGAACGAAGTGTGGCATATGAAATCATATCCAGTGAAGGATATTTACTGGATAAAACTTAAACATTTGATATTGATATGTGCATGTTCATTTACAAGATTATTAAGAAATCAAATACCAGTATGAATAAAACATCTACATGATTGTTTACTGTTCGTTATCTCCACATATTTCATTACAATACCAAACATCAGTAAGAATAAAACATCTAAAGATATGACTTCTTTATGCTTTAATATCTTGTCACTCTACAATTAATTATTTATCCGAAGGCGTACACCTTGTAGTAATGACCATCATCACGTGTATAAAGGTGAGCGGAAGGGGACCTCCAGCAGGTGTTAAGCCCACGGTCAATTACACCAATTGAACCATATGTATGGCAAGAGGTACGAGCCTCGCTTGGAAACGAACTAAAAGCTACATTTGCATCATTTCTACGATGACCGGTTAAGCGTTTTTCGACATTTCGTTTTCCACCATGCATGATGTGGTATGTATGAGAGACGTGTACATAATTGACGACGTGTTGTTGAACTGTACTTAGGTGAGCTTTATGCGCATCAACACTTGCTACCACAACATTTTTTCCATGATTGTTGTTGATGACTCCTCCTATTCCCGGACAAACATGGACCTGGTACTTCTTAGGGTCAGTGTTGTGATCACTTGTTACGACAAGCCAATTACGCCAGTAGTATTTATGTTGAAGTTTGCTCTCTAAAGGGTTAGTGATGTCACAATTGCTCGAGTGTGCATGGTCAGAAACGAATTTATCTACATCCGTTGCTAACTGACTACCATATTGCGTCATCAGCTTGTGGTCTGCTGCCAACAACGTTTTTTTTAAATGTTCAAACTTTACTCTCCAGTCATGCTGAATAAAGGAAGCCAAGGACGGTTTTGTAAGTTCATAATATGCTATTTCAATTGCCGCTGCATCTATCAATAATTTTGTAACGCCTAGCATAAATTGTTGTGTCTTCTTTCGATCCCATTCCAAGTGCCTGATCGCCTCATCAAAAATTGGTCCGTTAAAAAGATTACTCTGACCCATCACTCCATCGTAAATTTTTCCACCAGCTTCGTTGTATTGCTTATAGCTGCTGAGAAAAAATTGTTTCCTAGCGTTGTACTCGGTTTTACTAGTTGAGGCGGCCAGCGCTCTATATTTTTCTCCCACCACATGAATAGTGCTTTCGTAGCTACCATAGTGGGCCTCAATGTTAACCCAGTGGATTTCACGGGAAATAGCGGCAAACTGATGATCTATACGGTCAAATCTGAGGGTGACCTCTTTGTAGAGTTTCTGAATGGCGACAAGCTCTGCAGAAGGACCTGTGTTTAAAAATCCGAAGGCAAAAGATAATACGGATCCAATAATACCAAGGTATGGACTGACGGAAGATATAAGTTTTGATGCTGTTTTGGAAAAGTCCTGGCTCTCAATGAAACCTCCCAGGTCGTTAGCAAGGCTCAGGGTATCAGTAATCGTTGAAGGATCGATAGCATTCACTGCTGTCCAAAAAATTATTCCATAACAGAAGTAGATCGGATGGAGATTCATTTTGAATCTTACAAAAAGAAAGAAAGAACCTCATTAAAGAAAACGAAATGTCTGATAGACTAAGAAACAAGTAGATGTTCTATTACAGAGAAGCACTTTTCAAGTAATATGGGTGAATTTATTTCCAATAATCTCATTCCCTTCTGAGACGATTTCGTTTTTATATTTTACAATTGTTATGCTTGAGAGAAAGATTCCAATTGAAGTGATTATCCAATCTAATAAACATTAGACTTGTATTTTCGCTCCACTAATATACGCTTTAATTGCAGGAAATTCTTAGACAATTTGCTCTACAAATAACTCAGTTATATATTTATCAACCCCAAAAGATTCATTCATACTCCCATTTGAAAAATATTTCATAATTTTAAGCGTATGGTAGAGGATCGAAAATACAAGTCTAATTTTAATAAGATTGAGAATTTATATACTACCTATGATTTTCAAAATTCTACTTTCTGCTCTAACCCTTACAGATCTATGCAACTTGTATCGCTTTATAAAACATTTTTGTGAAAATTTAAAGAAAAATGAAAATCTAAGAGGTTAAACATATTCATTTTACTTATGAACATGACTTAAGTTGTATTTTTTAAAATATATTTGAAAAAGATTGTTTGCATCATCTGTCCTTAATTCATGATAGGAAAAAAACTGATTATGATAAAAATATGGTAAATGAGGTAGTAAAAATGCACATTCATTAAAGAAATAGTAATTTATGCTCTAAATCTCTGCCTTTATAGAAATTTATATTTTATACATTTTTTGTACATATAAATACATTGTTTTAATACATTGGGTGAGTATTGCAGAAATACTGTGAAATTGATGAGGATGCAATATATAGGATATAAATTAGGATGCAATATTTGGTTTATTTACTTTCCCGGTGTTTATAGATGTAGAATAAAAATTTTCAGGAAAGCAAAATTTTATCTTCAGTATATTAGATATTCTATAAGCACCTTACAATAGCTTATTCCCCTATTTTCCCCCTTTCATTGAAATTAATGTTGAATTTTCTCACATATCTAGCCATCAGTACTTTTAAGATACAGAAAATGGTTTTTGTTTAAGATAAATTTTAAAGTAAACTTTCAACAATATTTGATAAGTAACATTGATATTTCAAATATTAAGTGTCAAATTGATATTAAACACAGGAACAATATTTGAAGTACAACTACATTGTAACTAAAAATCATTTTGCCCATCATGTATTAGTATTAGAAACAAGAAACAGTCTTAAAATTTACCGTATTCTCCGATCTTCTACACTGTCAGGAACAAAGTGGGAGTCTACTAGTAGGTGTCTACTTATCTCATTAACATTGTACTTACTATTCCGTTGGTCCATATAATCGTGATCACCTTGACCGAGTATTTTCTTTGCACTCCTTGAGACAAAAGAATTTTTATATTGTTATCTTTATCTGACCCCCTTTCCTTTGTTCAGTTTTTATGATTGAGACACTTATCTATAGCAAAAATTGTGGAAAATGATGAATGCGATATATAAATATTTTCTAAGATTTCGTTTAGTTTTAATTTCATCAGAATGTACAAAATCAAAAGAATCGGTTACTACATTTAACAAAAATAATTCCTTTGTCTTTGAAATTATTTTTTTATTTTTAAAAAAATTTGAAATTGTAAAGTTAAGAATGTGGTTTTTATTTGTTTATTTTTACATACAGCTGTATGCATAAAAAAGTTAGGCTATTCTGGAAATGTACTTTTTTCTTGGGTAGCAATGCAGCTTATTTGTGATTTTTTGAGATTTCATTTAAGAATTTTATTTAATTTGCCTAACATTTAAGAGTGTGTTTATATTTGTGTGAACATGGGAAAGATGTTTAAAAGATGGTAATTTTTGCAAGAGATAACTTCAATAACAATAACATAATAATTGATAATAGTAATGGACTTTTGCGAGAAGAGCTGACTTTTACAACCGACGGCTTACTTTTACACTAAGACAATAAACGGTAACTCTTTTGTGATATAAATATTAAGCTTAACCGTTAATTAAACGATAAATATGGGCCATTTCAAAGCACATTTTACGTTGTCGAGGAAGAGAACGGCAGCCACCCTACCTTCAACCCCCTCTCTTCCCACATTGACCAACTCTTGCTTAGTTTTCCTTCCGGAATGCGTTTCCACTTTATTTGATTCCTTCAGAAAATGAGATTGAAAGGAGGTACTACCCCTCACAAATAAGGTAATTTAAGTTATGTAATTCTGCCTTCCATCATCTCTTGCGTTGATTGCATACCGGTAAATCATGTGAGTGCCCCTTACACGATACCTTTAACCACTATTAAGGTTTTCTTGTCTATTATCAATTCCATACCTCCGTACATAAGGCAGGTTTAAATGTCAAAGTAAGCCGTCGACTGTAAAAGTCAGTGCTTCTCACAAAAGTCCAGTAATAAGCATCAAAAAGCACTTGTCTCTATTTCTACAAAATGATTTGTATTTAGCAAATCATATTCTTTCCAAATCATTGATTTTATAGTAGCATGGTTAACGTAATGATTTATTTCAGATCTATTTTATTTTATCAATAATTCTATAATGTCGTAAGAACCGTCATGGTAGCTAGTGGTAGGGCGTTCGCTTCGTGATCAAGGTTCGCGATGTCAGGGTTCGATTCTCGTTCACCGCTTTGTGTCAAATCTAAGACTTAAACGTAGATAGGAAATGTTCCTTCGCCAAGCTCCTGGCATTAGAAGTGAAAAATCCGAGTTCTCTTGCCGTGGTATGTAATGGCACGATAAAAGAACCCTCATTGCTCAATGGCCCTGAGTGCCGAGTATAGGTCTTAATTTGAAGCCCTTCATCGTGGTATGGTGATGTCTCTATATGAGTAAAAAAATTCTGTAACAGGACTTAAAACAAAATACAATGAATCAATCAATCATTAATGTCGTGAGTGTGCGTAAGATATAAAAATGTGATGTGTCATTCAAATCTTTATATACAAATGTAGCTCTTTCCTCATAGACTGATCACCAAAATATCTTTGAACATCTAAAAGTTGATGAATTCATACCGGTAGTTACAAAATGGGCACCAATCAACCAAACATGTTGTTAATTTACTAGGACCAAACACTCTAGTCCACTTCGTTAGTAATTTTCTAAAAAATGTTATCATGAAATCATAGAAAGTTTTTGTGAATTTTTAAAGAGAATTATTTTTTTTATTCTCTTAAGCCTCATGACCCTTTTTCTAAATTTCAGCATAAAATCAATACCAACGTTGATTTTCATCAACAATAAAAGCCTTATATTCTATTGGGTAAAGCATGAAGCGAGGCTTACTTTCTTAGAGATTGATTTTATGTCCTATCATGCTCTAGAAAAAATGTGACACAGTGAAAAGAAAGAGCAAAATATATCGTCAAAACATAACAAAATAATGGTATCTTAAAAATAATAAAATCTATATAGTGTCATTACAAATAAATGTATATTAGATAACATTACGAGGCAATGATTTTCAAATCAGAACATCGTATTGTATTCTATGTTGGTAAAAAATATATGAGTCCCTCAGCAAGGGTTACCTTTGACAACCTTTTCTTTATGTATTGAAAATATATAATAACAACACAGATGTACACATCGTAAATTATAAAACCTTTCACATTTTATTTAAAAAAAAAGACATGAATATTCTAATTTAGTAACATATAACGACAGAAGAGTAAAAATGTCATTATGGGTCAAATATCATAAAAATAAATATCCAAATATATTGATAAAGGAAAATGCAAGTATCAATTAATATTTTCCTAAAACAGGTGTGCGATATTGTAAATAAACAAACATTTGGGTGGGTAAATAAGGCCAAGATAATTTAAAGATAGTTATTTCTCCTATCAGAGGGTTGTTTGACTTTAACACCCTTCTCATCAGGGGTCCACCTTATAAGCCTTAAGCTATTGTAAGCTTACTGAAATATGATTTCGCCTATGCTTTTGTGTGTTTTTGTCGGCGATTATTGGTTTATCGATAAACATCTCTTTGCAAATTGTGTCTTTTTGCAAAATATTCCGGTGATTGAGAATGCTTTTTTTAACCCTGAATATAAGGTTGTTTCGGGTAATCACGGCATTTGGCTGACGCCGTCAGCTTTTGAAAGCATTTTTATACAGGTACTCTTTTTTATTTGTTCTGACCATTTCAAGGATAATTCCTTATCAGGATAACCTCTCTTGGGCAAGAGTGTCTTAAATTTTGCTAGAATTGTTGATAAGATAGATAATTGTAGATACATTGTATTTATAGTGAAAGCAAATTTATATGACCGATGAGATTATGCTTGACATTGTTGCACTAAGTCTAGTATTTGAATGAAATATGTCATAACTAGAAGATCTTTTTGTGTTATGAGAGTAATTATTCTTAAATAAGATATATGAATGAATCTAAAATTGAATTGATTTGAATGAATGCAATACTTATAATGCAAACGGGCTGACCAGCTTTTGCATGGTCAATTTTCCTTATTTATGTAAAATGCTCTGAGTACAATCAATTTTCAAAAAGAGGCAGGCTACTATTAAATAAATTTATGCTACAGGCATTTCAACAACTTCATTATAGTCAGCATTTCGTTAATTCTATTGTCGTAATAATGACCTTGTTAGCAAATGCACACCTTTCATCGGGGGTCTTATTTGATAAATGCCATACCAATTGTTATGCTTTTGTTTTCATAGTATATTTGACTACGGAATATCCCGTTTACCTAAGCAATACATAGGGCTCACGGTGTATGTGACGGGTCGATGTACTCCTCCTAGGCACCTGATTCCATCTCTAAGGGGTCTGTGTTTTATGGGGCCTGTGTTTTATGCTCTGTTCACAGAATTATTGTTTGTATTTTTGTTTAGATCGATCGCTGTTCATTATCTTCACTTGATTAATTTTTGGATTTAGGAAATTTTTTAACATAAAAAAATCCTTCATAAAGGAAAAACG